TGATACTGTACACCTGAAAATGCTTCTAGGAAAGAAGTTTTAAACTAACAACCTTGACCGGTTGCAAAACACTTCAAACGAAGTGCTCCGAGCCAAATCGGGCATGAAAGACATTACTGAAGCAATGTATGCCAGCAAGAAGAGATGGGCTGGCCGAGTGGCAAGGATGACAGATAACAGATGGACGAAATGGATAATGGAATGGTATCCATGCACAGTCAAGCGAACATTGGGGAGGTCACCACTGACCGAAGGTAGAGACCTCAAGGTACACCTCTGCACGGTATTACGTGATCTCGGGAAGCGCAACAACGAGGTGAATGGAGAAATTGCCAGCTGCGACAATGGCTCAAGTAACTTTAGCATCCGTTAATCAAATAACTTAAGTAATCGATGGCTCAAGTAACCAAATAATCCAAGCAAGTAACCTTGACAAGTAATTCGCAAGCAATCGCATAATCGTACAAGCTCACCGCTTTGCATGACCAGGGAGCCGTTCACGTCGTGATACGGCATGTACTGCGCATTAACTGTTACCACTTCTAAATTTACAAAAAAAAAGACGTAAAAATAAATTACGATTTTTTCAACAAGTTATGCGGTTTTAGCAAAATACCTGAGAACTGGTTCAAATTCCCCTTTTTCTGTGACGAAAAGCACTGAGAAATTCAAAATCGAAATGATGGGAAACAGCTACACTGTTCATCACTGATTTATCAATGTTTTTTTACATAAATTTGGCCCAAAATCATAAAAATCTGGCAGAAAATCCGGCATAAAGAGACTCAAAACTGGCATAAAAAATTACGTTTTCGACGCCTTCTGGATCGTCGTACGCCATCCTTGGAGCTGCCCGCAAAAATATCCAATGCCGCAATAACGGTAGCTTCACCGGGATTCTCGAAACGTAGCCTGTCCAGCTCTCGATTAGACAGCCATCGTTTTCCTGAAATTGTTGTATAAACGCTGAAAATTACAGCTTTCTTCTCAATGCGCGTCAAAATTCTGTCCATTTTTCATTACTTCATTCACAATATATTGAGTGGCAACTGTGGTAACGGTAAGAAATGTATACGAATCAAAGGAATCAAGGGAATCAACTGGCCGGTGAATGAGATTCTTACAGTGTTCTACTCAACTAACTCCGGGGAGAATTTCAACGAGTGAATTTTTTCGATTTTTTTTTTTGATCAAAAATGAATTTTTTCGTAAAATTACTAAAAAACAAACCTGACTTGGGCTTTAAAATATCCCGATCATCATTTCTGGATTCTCTGCTGTCCTCACTCGAACTCGTATTCCCCACCTCGCCGGTCATTTCGTGAATCCCTGAAAGAAAGCAAAAAAACCCTGCTTTATTTAATAAGCCAGATTCCGATGCCCTACAACCAGCAGCCAATACAGTCATATTATCGAATTTCATGGGTCAGGATTAGCAATATCATCACATTACCCTGAGGGCCTAAAGTCTGCAAGTCGTACATGTCATACGGCTTTGTGTCACATGAATCAGTCCTACTATCTTTTCCATCATAACTTTAAACTAATCCACCGCAGGTTAAAATTTTCGGACTGTGGCCGTTCCACATTTTCCATGTTTTTTCGGGAAAATGTGCAACGGCCACAGTCCGATGCGCACAAATCACTAAACTAGCCTCGGAGGGACAACTTGTCCTTCTACGAGCTGTTCATTCGTTTCGATGGTAAATTGGCACTGGCAAATCTTAGAAATTGAGAACTGTCACGAGCTTGCTTGCAAATTACTCTTGAAAGAGGGGACTCCTGAAAAAGGCCTTGTCAGCCGGTATTTGCCATTGGCATTTGCTACCACTTGGGCTACTTCCCGGATGCCCATTCCATGCCAATATGGGAGTTTTAAATTCTGTTTTTGACACAACCCCAGCAGCTACAGCTAAAAAGCTGGCACAGGCTAACAATCCTGGCAACGAGACTAATGTCCGGTATGCGCAAACCCGAAGCCCATAACAATTCAAACCCCGCAAAAATGCAGGGCACATGTCCCCAACATTAAAGATCTCAAACCCGCCAGAAACAAATGCAGCCGCCAGAACAGAGGAATGACCCGGGAACTCATTCTCTCCCAAGTTTGATTTGGTTTCCGTTGTGAGACCAAAGCCTCAATTCGTCCAAGGACTAAATGCGGAGTAATTTTGAAAAAATAATTTTTGCTTCAGGACTAGGGACGCATATATAAGTTATTTAAGACCGTAGTTTCGTGCATGTACAAGTTATCAAAGTCCATCGAACTTCCGCTTCTGGTTCCCGTAGATCCTCCGACAAATTCGCGAAATTTCTAAAAATTCAAAAAAAAAAGAATCATATAAATGCTGAAAAAAGTCCTTTTTTTTACTTCTTACACCACAAATATGCATTTTTTCGAGATATTTGCGAGCATTTCTGGAAGAAACAGATTTTTATGCGTTTTGTGCTGTGTAACAGCAGTACAAAACACATATTGTTACGGGGTTGTCTGTGT